GTCTGAAGGTGCAGGAATTGAGGCTGATCTGAGGTCTGTTGGTTCCGAATTTGGGGCTGATCTGAGGTCTGAAGGTGCAGGAATTGAGGCTGATCTGAGGTCTGTTGGGTCCGAATTTGGGGCTGATCTGAGGTCTGAAGGTTCAGGAATTGAAGCTGATCACCTGAGGTCTGTTGGTTCAGAATTTGGGGCTGATCTGAAGTCTGTTAAGTTACTCATTTTTATCAGCCAGTGGGCTAATAACAAAAATAAAATGTATTCCCCCATCCAAACGGTCGAGGAGGACAAAGAACACCAATCGTACGCAGCGCTGATCAGTGTATTCTGACAGCAGTTTTCGTTATTCGGATGTATTCAAATTTCCAAATTACAATAGTAATGAATTTAAAGGAATCCAGAATAGCAAAACAATATTTTGTTCAAAATAATGAATTATCCCAATTCTAATTGAATTCAAAACGAATTAAAAAACAGAATTGAATTTGAAAAAAAATTGGAAATGTAAACATATTACTGACTATTGCTGATTTCCTTCAAAGACTGTGTGTATTAGAATATAGCCATCTTCCGAAATTTTAATTTAGAAAATAATACAAAAGAATAAAACAGAATAGAATAAAATAGAAAATAAAGGAATAGAATAAAATAAAAGGAATATAGCGGTGTTCCTGCATTTGAATTTTCGAACATTTTAATTTCGAATAGAATGAAATAGAAATAAATTATCCATCTTCCGGAATTTGAATTTCAAAAAGAATAGAATAAAATAGATTAATACAGAAAATAATATAATAGAATATAAAGGAACAGAATAGAAAATAAAATAAAAGAATTGAATAGAATGGAATAGAATAGAAAATAATAGAATAAAATAGAGAATAAAATAATAGATAATAAAATAGAATATAAAGGAATAGAATAGAATAAAAAATAAAAGAATAGAATATAATAGAAAATGAAAGAATAGAAAATAAGAAAATAAAAGAACATAATAGAAAAAATAAAGTAGAATAGAATAAAATAGAATATAGCCATCTTCTGGAATTCGAATTTCGAAATTCCAGTAGAAAAGAATAAAATAGAAATAATATAGCTGTCTTCTGAAATTCGAATTTCCAAAAGAATAGAATAAAAAAGAATAGAGTAAACAGAATAGAATAGAACAGAAAATAAAGAAATAGAATAGAACCAGCTCTTCTTCACAATAAACTTTAATCAATTCAATATTTTTTATTCAAATTCGATTCTAATACTTTGAATTCTTTGGAATAAATGAAACAGAACAAAACTGAATAGAACAAATTTTTTTTTATGAATGCAATGAAACAAAATTAGTAACTTAACAAATTGGTCCAAAACAAAACAAATGTTTTTCGTTCTGCACATGTCTAGTGAGGGCTCCTCCGCTGTCAGAATACACTAATCAGCACTGTAGCTGCCTGGCTGCATTTGCTGATCAATTTAAAATTTTCCAACATTCATGTTCAAGAGAAGCCGATCATTAGAACAACTTCTCCCGAGCTGGAACAGCCATAGATGGAGCAAAATTTGGCTAGTCCTTGCTCAGCTGGCCGATTTTCAATCCATCTATGGACAGCTTAAAAGAGAAGTGTAGGTTGTAAAATAACATATAATTATAGTCACCTAGGATGCAGCATGGGTCCGACTCTACACCGAGAACTGAGTGATCAAAGACCATTGATCACTCAGTTCTTGGTTTTCAGTGAGCAGACAGCCAGTGAGTGTCAGTGCCCATCCAGCGCTCACTGGAGTGTCAGGCTGTGGAGGGTGTAGGAGGGGCTCACTCAGGCTCTCAGCAACGTGAGAGGCTGGGCCAATTGTCACTCAGGAATCTGGGTGGCTCCCAACATTTAAAGTCAGGATCTCTCCAGAGCTGGACTGGCTCAGTGATGTCAGCCGCCAGTAGGCTTTAGACTGCTGTCAGCTGAATAGGGGTCAATGGCGTGCAGAACCAAGTGCAATCCTGTGTGCAGCACCCCCCTCCCTCTTCTCTCTCCCTCCTCATTGGTTCAGAGGCAGCGGTGGCAGCCATTGGTGCAGCCAGTGAGGAGGGAGGGGTGGCTGAGCCAAGTCATGCTCTGTATGTTAATGGACACACAGAGCTGGCTTCGGAATGAGCCTGCACGATTGCCCCCATAGCAAGCAGCTTGCTATAGGGGCACTTGGCGGGGGGGGGGGGGGGGAGAGCCAGAAGCACTGGCAGGGGACCAGAGAAGATGAGGATCAGGGCTGCTCTATGCAAAACCACATCACAGAGCAGGTGAATATAACATGTTTATTATTTTTAAAAATGCAGATACAGTCACGTTAACTCCATGATGCTGACCGCATTAGCATCCTCACAGAACTGGCCATTTTTCCGTGGGGCCTCTAATGCGTACCTGTCTTTCTGTTAGGAGCATGCCGCACGGTGCGCTCCCAGCACAAAGACTGGGGTATCACTGAGCCCTGGGTCCCGTTCTAACGATCGGGACCCGAAACTCCCAATTTCAGGTCACCTGATCGCTGTGATAGCCTCTGAATGGCTATCACAGTGATCAGTCACTGTGAAGCCCGCTTCCCTTGTTTTCTCTTTGAATGGAGGAGAGAGATACATTAGAGGAGACAGATACATTGGAGGAGAGAGATACATTGAGAGATACATTGGAGGAGAGAGATACATTAGAGGAGACAGATACATTGGAGGAGAGAGATACATTAGAGGAGACAGATACATTGGAGGAGAGAGATACATTGAGAGATACATTGGAGGAGAGAGATACATTAGAGGAGACAGATACATTGGAGGAGAGAGATACATTAGAGGAGACAGATACATTGGAGGAGAGAGATACATTGAGAGATACATTGGAGGAGAGAGATACATTAAGAGATACATTAGAGGAGAGAGATACATTGAGAGATACATTGGAGGAGAGAGATACATTGAGGAAAAAAAAAACAAGTGTGTGTAAAAAAAAAATAAATAAATAAAAATAATAAAAAATAAACAAAAAATGCAAGTGTGTGTAAAAAAAAAAATGAAAATAATAAAAAAATAAACAAAAATACCTTTGATTTAGGTCTGTGCCAGGGATTGGGTCAAGGTCAGGGTCAGTATTTTGGTCTGGGTTTCTTCTTTAATTTTTAAATTAGTATCAGTGTCAGTTAGTGACAGAATAAAAAAAAAGCAAATTGCGCACTATTGTTTCTGGGCTGTACTACAGGCACAATCAACAACTAACATACACATATGTGGTATCGCTGCGATCGTCAGGAGCAGGAGAAATTATTTTGGGTTGTTCTATGGTGGCAGATTATGTTAAGAAATATACAGCTACATTTAAAAAATTATTTTGTTTTTTTTATTATTATTTTGGGCCAGTTTTCCTTTGATAATAAAAAAATAAGGAGATATTCACTACCATTTACCACCAAATGAAAGCCAAATTTGTCCTGAAAAAAACACGGTATAATTCACCTGGATGTACAAAGTAGTTGTGATGATATGTACGGTTTTGCTGACACATGTCAAAGTTGAAAAATTGTGCTTAGGCATTAAGATTTGTTTTACCCGTAGGCATGAAGGGGTTAAGGCGAGTTAAGTGGATTCTAAAATCCACGTTCAACCTTCCAAGATCAGAATTCTTCAGAGACCTCCAAGTCTAACACTTTCATGGCAATGTAATACACACACCTCCATAGACTAACTGTCTAACAGGGCTTGACCACATGCTTTTACCGCCCCCAACCTCCTGGGTAAATATGGCTTTAGACCAGGGGTCTCCAAAGTTTCTAAACAAAGGGCCAGTTTGCTGTCCTTTCAGACTTAAGGGGGGCCGGACTGGGGGCATTGGGAGTAAAAAGTGGTCTGGTGTATGTGGAGCAAACAATGTGCCATCGCTGGTGTCATGGGAGGAGTAGTGCTCCATCAGTGGTGTCAGTGGGAGAAATAGTGCCCCATCACAGGTGTCAGTGGAAGGAATAATGCCCCATCAGTGGTGTCATTGGAATTGTGTCTCATTTCTGGTGTCATTGGGAGGAATTGTGCTTTTTTCCTGGGGTTAGTGGAAGGAATTATGCCCCTTTGTTGGTATCAGTGGATGTAATAGTGCCCCAAGGGCCGGATAAAAGAAAGCAAAGGGCCGAATCCGGCCCTAGGACCACAGTTTGCAGACCCCAAAACAGGCCTTCCAATCACATTTCCTGTTCCGATGACAACTCAAATTTTTGATATCCCCATCCACTGAAAAAAAAATTGGCTTTACACACACTGAAAATATTTGTGAATGGTGTAACCAAGAGCAGTACCAGAGATCTCAATGGCCGGGACAGCAGGCATGGAGCTAACGGCATGGCTGCACTCGTTGTACAGTTATAGTAAAGCCGTATCTCAGAACAGGGAGTCATTCTGACATGTTTCAGGCTCTGGGGGCTGAAAGACTCGTTTCCATAAAGAGAACATGCCAAGTGTAGAGATGGTCGCCCAATGAGCAGGCAGCAGGAGCAAAGAACAGAGGAAGCTAAAGAGGATCAAAGCGGGAGTAGGTGTACATAGCAACCAATCAGCTTCTATCTTCAGGTTGTTCATTTAAACCTTGAGAATGAAAGGCAGAAGCTGATTGGTTGTCGTGCACAGCTGCTCCAGCTTTGATGAATTCCCCGCTATGACTGAGGTCCCTTGTAACAACCTCCGCCGGCTGCCACTCTATTACCCTAGATTGCCGGTGGGCGTGGCTGTACCGGCGCTTACTCCCACAGGCGGTATTATGTTTCCCGCACTCTGGTAGGCGGGGCGAAACAAAGCGTTCCATCCCTCACAGAGGCGGGAAACCAAGCCCGTACTGAATGCACTGGGGCGTGGTTTGTTATACCCCGCCCCTCCACCTCGGCTATCCGCTGCCTTTGAGCGGAAGTTTTGGTGCGGTAACGCCCCGCCCACCGCCGGAAGCAAGAGATCCCGGAAGTTCCGGTGTGTTGTGGAGGGGGGATAAACAGGAATGGCGGAAGCAGCGGCGGCACCTGTAGCTCTTACATCAGTGGCGGCAGGGAAGAGCCCGTTGCCCCCGTTTCCGGACAATCCCCCCGCGGGCGGCTGGACGAGGCAGGTGACCTGCAGGTAGGAGGAGTGAGCGGAGCTAATGGGAAGACGGCGGGAGGGGGCAGATTATCAGGGACCCTCCGCAGGCTATGTTGTGGGGATTGCCATGTGTTGTGGGATATGCACGTGTGTGTTCACGAATCTTCCACAAACTTCCTGGAAACTCACATTGGCCCCATGCAGTACACCTGGCCTTTCATACTATTCCCTAGAGAGGGACACTTGGCTGGCCAATCTAGTCCCAACATGGGCACCCACGTTAGTTCCTGGGAGAGCCCTTTTGTTCCGGAATTGGTCCCTGCTGGGGTGCCTGCATTGGTTCCCTGATGGATGATCGTGTTAGTCCCCTGTAGGGGGTGTTTTGGGTGTCTATAATCCAGGAGGGGGGCCCACAGGAGGGCGATTGCTGCCCACATTAGTCCCCGGAGGGGTGCCCACATTGATCCCCTGGGTAATTCCAACATTAGTCCTCTGTAGGGGCGTTTGGGTGCCCTATTATTGCTCATGTTAGTCCTGGGGGGGACACCATTGTTAGTCCCTCTTATGGGTATTTGAATACCCATATTAGTTCCTGAAGGGTTGCCCATGTCAGTCCCTGGAGGGGCGATTGGGTGCCCACATTAGTCCCTGATGGAGCACTCGCATTATTTCCTAGAGCAGTAGTTGGTTGCCCATGTTAGTCTCTGGGCGGGAACTTGGGTGCCCATATTGGTTACCTGGTGCACACCAATGTTCGTCTCCTGTATCGATGTTTGGATGCCCATATTAGTTCTTGGGTGCCTATGTTAGTCCCTGGGGCAGGGGCAGCTGCGTGACCACATTAGTCCCTGGTGCAGCACTCACATTATTCCCTAGAGAGGTAGTTGGGTGCCCACAGTCCCTGGTGGGGTGCCCACATTGGTCCCCTGAGGCACACCAATGCTAATCCCTTATAGAGTTGTTTGGATGCCCATATTAGTTCTTAGTGGGATGTCCAGATTGGTCCCCAGAGGGGTGCCCCTGTCAGTCTGTGGAAGGGCACTTTTGGGTGCTCCTATTGGTTCCCTGTGGCATGCCAGCATTCCCCAGTCCCAGTAGGGGCATTCAGGTGTTTATATTAAAATTTTTTCTTAAATCGTAAATAATGAAAGCTACACCCAAGCACATAACGTCCCCCACCCCCCCCCCCCCCACCCGCACCCAAAAAAAATTGAGTCCCTCCACACTTGTACATACGTACAAACGTAAAAGCACACACTGGGGTGCCTACACCTGAAACCGTTGATTGCGATACACATGTTGCATATCGCCGCGCACGCCAGAATGAGAGCAATAATTCTAGCACCAGACCTCCTCTGTAACACTATACTGATGACCTCTAAGGGGCTTTAGAAGTGTTGCCTATAGAAAATATAGGGTACTGAAGATCATCGCCATTTCACGAGTGCATGAAAATGTAAAGTTTGACAAGTAGAATATCTATTTACTCACTGCAACCTCATTTTTTATATTTTACAAAAAATATGGTAATTTATTGCTTTTTTTTGTGCCCTAAAATAATTTTTACTGAAATTTTGCGGTAATCTCATGCGACATAAAAAATTGGAACTACCACTATTTTATTCTCTAGGGTCTCTGCTTTCAGGAAAATCTATAATTTTGGGGGGTTTTGTATAATCTTTAGGCTTAAAATTATTATTTTAATCTTGTGCAAAAAACGCAAAAACGGCTCTGGCAGCGAAAGGGATAAAGGATAAGCCCAACACTCCCCTTCTCTGAAAAGCACCCAATCAGTGCTCATTACACTACATGGTGTCTCTCTGCTCCCTGTTAGTCCCCTGGGTACGGTGCTGGAGACAGGCGGGGAAAAGGACATACAGTGCAATGTTAAAATTATTCAACATTTAAGTCACCATAACGCCCCTTTATTGTTTTTAAAACATTCCTAATATCACCTCCGATTTAAATGCGGTTTTGGTTAAAAAAAAAAAAAAAACAATTTTATCAAAACAAGTAGGTTGTCATGAGGGACAAGTAGATTGGGACACCAATTTAGTCCCTTTAACAAGTAGTTTTTTCAAAAAATTTCCACACCCCTGAGAGTATAGTGGGCTTTTTAAGTAAGTTTGGCTATTCACCAGATTGCTTCTCTCCAATCGGGCACCCATATGGGTTTGCATAAACTACAGGGAGCTGTTTTATCTGTAAAAATACTTTTATGTCTGTCCATCTCGTCCTGAGATATTCACAGCTCTGCCAGAGAGCCTGGCCCAGTGGATGATACCACTTTCTTTGTTACCGTATAAACATAGCTTGGGACATTGTTGTCCTCTCTCCACCTCCAGCCTGCTGATTGGACAGTGAAAAGACAGCAGCAGAGTGATGATGTCATCTCTGCTCACTCTGCACTTGTCTCTTATCAGCATGCTGCCTGTAAGTACATTTGCTCTATTAATTCTTCTATGTTTCAGATATTTTATGCACGGCGTCTGCAAAGAAGGAAACAACTGCCGCTATTCACACGATCTCTCCACCAGCCGCTCCAGTATGATCTGCAGATATTATCAACGAGGGTGCTGTGCTTATGGAGACCACTGCAGGTGAGGGGCTCTAGTGGTATCCTTTAGTGTGGATTCACACATGGGCGGTGTGGATTGAAGCTCAGGTTTCATAGCTAATTGACACAGTAGTTGGTCAGGTTTAGGTCAGGATTTTATCCTGTTCACACATGCGGTTAAGTAACGGTTCCCATAGAAGTTAATGACCTGTAATCCGCACCTGAACCAGACTGCACTACTCAGAAATCGTACAGGACTCTTTCTTCAATCCGCACTGCCAGTGCTCTGGACATATGTAAACAGGCACCATAGAAAGTAATATTATTTCACGTCATGTAGATTATTATTATTATACAGGATTTATATAGTGCCAACAGTTTGCTCAGCGCTTTACAATATAGCGGGAGACAATACAACAACAATACAGTTCAATGCAAGAGGGATAGGAAGGCCGTGCTCCTTGGAGCTTACAATCTTGCATGAGGTTCAAACCGCATCCGTTCCGCATATATGTGAACCGGCACTTGCACCTTTGCTTTATTTTGCAACTGCAGCCATGAGCTTGTTATAACTACTTGCAGTCCAGTGATGTATTGTGGATGGCAAGTGGTTAGGTAACACAAAAAGGATAGCTTGCACCTTCAAAAAAAAAAAAAAAAAAAAAACCAACGTCCGCTGATTAGACTTAGGGTCTTTTTTCCAGAAAGGGTTATAACTCCAGTTATCTCTTAATAGTTATTTCTTTCCAATTACTGAACTTTCCATTTACCTTCTGCCCTGGAGGCACAACAGATAGAAGGGGGAATTTTCTCTGTAGTGAGAAAGTCCCATTGGAAAATGTCCCCTCTTGTTTTGTTTACAACTAAAAACCTTTGGACTTCTTCACATTCAGTTTTCTTGAGAGTGGTTGCCAGGACAAACAACGTTAATCTCTAAAGAGTGCGTTGTACCAATTGTAGTATGCAGGAAAGGGTGACAACACTGCAGCTAAGCTGAGGAGTTTTCACCCAAAGACACGTGTTGATTTACTAAGGCTGGAGAGTGCAAAATGTAGTGCAGTTGTGCATGGTAACCAATCAGCTTCTCATCTCCGCTTGTTCTATTAAAGTGGTTGTAAACTTATACTCAGTGATAGTGAATAGCCTAAGATCATACACAGAGGGTGAAACAAATCTACATAAGTTTTACTTGTTTATTTGCTGTCTACTCTTTTGTACATCCCTTTAAGCCCAGGTTCACACTGATACGGTGCAGCACATCACATGTGATTAGCACAGGAACTGCACTGCATTCCTGTGCAAATCACATGCTATTTCTGTGCGGTGTAATTTGAGCCATACATTTTGTATGGTTCAGATCCCACTGCATCTGCAGGACATATAAATATGTGCAGCAACACATTCACATTGTGGATCAGTTTTAAGTATTTTGTGTTTTTAGATACATGTTAACTCTTTATGAAGATGCACCATTCTAATTTGTTTGTTCTTCTCTCCAAGATATGAACACACAAAACCACTAAAGCCAGAAGTTATCGGCGATACCTCTGTAGCACTGATCTGCCCCCTCAACTCCCTCCCGGAAACCAGCGGCAGCATAAACAGTAAGGCAGCTGACTTGGCAGCTAGTGACCTGGCGGCAGGGGTCTCACAATCTGAAGACTGGGTCAATGCCGTGGAGTTTGTACCGGGGCAACTCTACTGCGGACGTGGTAATCATTTTGGGAGGGGGCGTCTTTTTTGTTTTTGTTTTTTTCCTCCAGCAGCACAGGAAAAAAAATCTTGGGGCTAGCCAAAAATCATATTCTAATAATATACGAAACTGGCGTCAGTAAAAAGTAGGAAAAGAAAAATTGCAGTGACGCTAGGGAGACTCTTGCATAGCCTAAAAGTCTTTATACACAACAATGGTAGACTCCTCCCCCAAGGTTCTTCATAATTTGTTAAATGCACAGTTCAGAACTTTTCAACCTCCTTCAAGACTGTGGCAAAAGCAGCATTACAATTGTGCACTACACAGTATACATTATACAAAACTGCGCTAGCAAGCAGATGAGAAGCTTTTATTGCAAAAAAAAGACATATCTTTTCCAGTAAAATGCCTTCCTGCTTGTAATGGTTTTCTTTTTCACGTTGAAGTTGAATCTGCTTATATTTTGCCTTCACTCATTCGTCCTCGCCCCTCACCAACATGCTAATTAATTTTTTTTATTAAAACCTTTCCATTTCATTACATACCTTTTTTATATATACAGGCGGATCATGGCTGGTGGGAGGCGGATTAAAAACGCATATGTATGCATTCATTGTGAAAGCAATAAGTACATCAAATAGCATGAGTTTGGTGTCTGCCCTGGTGTGTATCTTGCTGCAGAGTTTGGCAGGAATGCGGCCATGCTGGGCAGCGTGGAGCAAGCAAGTGGCTGGAAAGGTGGTCTCCTGGGCTGTCGCAGGCAGAGCGATGCAGGGAAGCATCCGGGACTCCATGCAACCAGTGATGGTCGCATGTGATGTGTGTGGGGAGGCGGCTATGCTTTTTGGGGCAGCACTGTTCTCAAGCCTTTTGACAATTAGATAAACTTCTGTCAAATGGGGAAAAGCAATAGAGGGCCAAATTTTGATCCATCTATGGGCAGCTTAAGTGGAGATCAAAACCAACCAACAGGGGTCCTAATCCATATCAACCCTATCCAAAAAGTTTATATTTAATATAAAAATAAATGTATATTGGTTGGATATACACTGTAACGTGCCACCATCCATCAAGGCTGGAATAACTTTTCTCCTGTATTTGTATGTAATATTCTTATGCTTTTTGCCTTTGTAGAGACAACACAAATCCTCAGTGAGGTGTGTGGGATTCTTGTGTGCTTTTACTTGTGTTAATACCTCTCAGTAATATGATCTATGGCATGCATATAAGGACAGGTCTGTGAAAATATGTCAAGAATGTGGGTGGGACTATGAAAATTTTGCCTGTGTTTTTGCCACTCCATATGGGTAGTTTTCTATTCTGAGAACATTTGGGTGTTTAAGTCCCATCTTGGGAACGGAGTAAAATATTCACCTTTTTGCAAGGAAATTGCTAGTTTCAGGATCCTTTTTTGTTATTTTTTTTTTTTTTTTTTTTTTTTTTTTGTGGTACTCTTTAAAGTCTATTTCCTCTCCTGCAGTCAAATGTAATAAAACGCTGTGTCTGTGTTGGTTATGTATTCCCTTTTGCACAGCATACCTTTTTAAAAAATTATTATTTTTTTTTTATTATTAAGTAGAAGTTGTGGCTGACTGCATAGATTTTTTTTGTCATGGAGTCTGTCCTAAGGACAAGAGGAGCTCCCTTTCCATTATCGTACAATGCAAGAAGCCGCCAAGTGTATAAGCAGTTAACTATTTGATAAGCTGGCTACACATGGATCCAAATTCGGGCCGGTTTATTCGATGTGTGACCCTCCCTTTTCGACAGAAGTCGATGGTAGATCAACTTCTGTCAAATGGAACTTTTAGAAAACTTTAATTTGATCACCCACTGAATCTGATTAGTTGCACCACTGATCAATGTATTATGACAGTGGAGGAGTCCCCACCATCAGAATACAATAGCATAGCAGGGAGGATTCCTGCATCCACCTCGCTTGTGTGGATGGGAAAATCTGTTTGTATTTATTTGTTTCCCACTAAGCATGTATAGTCTGCATTAGGACAGACAGTGTTCAAATCTAGTTACAACTCATAATGTAGATCTGGACAGTGCAAACAAGGTTAATTATGACATGCCCCCCCCTCCTAATCAAAGAACTAGTAGGATTTTACAGTGCTGAAGCTTCTAGAATGGAGCATCTAAAAAAGTAAGCTGAATTCATTTTTTATTTTTTTAAGTCTTGCTATGTAAATAAGAACCTGTAACACAAAAGTTTTTTTTTTTTTTTTTTTGGCTGTAGAAGTTGAAATACACTCTTAAGAGTACTTGGACCTGTTGTAATGTATCAGCTTTTAAAATTGGTACATTACAATGCCTGCCTTTTTATCCTTTTCATTAAAGTATGGACAAACATTTATACTCGCCTAGGTGGCTGCAGTATCGATGTGATGCTTTTGCACTACAGTGAGAACTAAGCAATCAAACACTGCTGAACACACAGATGTCCCCTCCGCTCTAAGCAGGGAGCTGTGACACTCAGTCTCTGCTCTCTGCTATGCCCCTTCAGTGCTCACTGGAGCCCCAGGCTGTGGGGGATCTTTTTAGAACGTGGACTGGCTAAAGTCTGCTGTTGGCTAAAAATGGGTCACAGGCGTGCAGAATGAACTGCACTCCTGCAACCTACAGGAGAAGCCTAGCCAAAATGGCTTTGGCTGTACTTCCCCTTTCAAAGTATTTTCCTGATACCCTGGAAAATTAGCTGTGTTTATTACAGCAATGAGGGACCAGAGCTGTCATTTTGTGCTGTAGCCTATCCTTTCCTGCAGATTTTCTGCATATCAGGGCACGGTTTTGATTAGTGTGCAAACAAGCATCTGGAGCTGTTTTAAAGTGTAACGGCACCTTTTGGTACAATTACTTATATTGTAGTTCCCCCAGCCCCCTCTGTTAGTGTTGGGGTGTACTCACACTAGGCAATCTGTATTGTGGTTGAGCATGTTTGACCTTCAGAGTCTAGTTTTTTGTTTTGTTTTTACCAATGTGAGCTCTCTGTACTCTGCACTGTTCCACTTGAAGAGGTAGGCATGTTAGAGTTAGACTCACAACTGTACACACTTGTGTGAACCAGAAGAAAGCATTCTTGGACCCAGCCCAACGTAAGTGCAGGCCAGCAGGGGAGGGGGACAGTTATGCTCTGTCATGGTAATAGGTAATCATCCCTATTGTGAGTATGCCCTTCTTCTTGCCTGTCCCCAATCCAGAAAGATATTGTCAAGATCTCACAGCTGCTTGTCAAATCTTCCTTTTACATGCAGGCGTGTACTGGAGTTCTCCTTCCATGCTCAAGGAAAACCAACAATAGCCAGAAGCTTTCTTGAGGGCCTTTTTTCCTGTAAAATTAAAGTTTGGTGTCACCACCTTTTGCCTACTAAGCTGCATTATAGGTCAAAGTGGCCACCCAGCACATTAAATATTAAGTAGGAAGAGGCACTGGGCCAAACTCAACTGGTTTCATCAAATTTTTTTCATTTCTGTTCCTTGCCTCCAGTCAGTTACTGAATGCTCCCTGTAACTGTAATTGTGGGTAACTCTCCCCAAGGGGTGCACAATAATAAGCTGACCGTTCTAACTCTTCCTCACCCTGTCCAAGCTAAAACCATAAACTAGGGTTTCACTTTCATGATGATACAGCTCTTACATTTTGCCTGCTAAGTCTCTCCCATCTGGCAGTCTCTGGAATGCTTGCATCCAGTACATGGTCAGAGTGATTTGTAAATGATACAATTTGTGAACAAAACATGTGAATTTATTTTCTTTCCAGCTCCGTCTGGCTCAGACACTGAAACTCAGGGATCGTCACAACAAGAGGAAGACAAGGAGCAGCCAGCAGACCCCGAACTGAAGAAGCAGCTTTGTCCCTATGCCGCAGTGGGGGAATGCCGCTATGGAGAGAACTGCGTCTACTTACATGGAGACCCATGTGACATGTGCGGGCTACAGGTCCTGCACCCCACTGACATGTCTCAGAGGTCGGAACACATTAAGGTACATGGTAGACATGTATTAAAATTATTTCTGGCTTGCATAAAACATTTGTCCGATCTCATAAGCAGTTTCAGTAGGTAGGAGATAAAGATGAATCATTCAGATTTTTTGTGTTCTTTCTAACTCTATAAGGGCCCATTCACACTTTGCATGCTTTTGAGGTATGTTGTGTTACGACAGAGATCTATATATTGATTGTGGATTGATCTCCTTCTGTCCTCCTTGCCACAGCTGACTTCATATTTCCATCTCCAGAGTTTGGCATCTTTGCCTATCTTGATTGGGTGGCCCAGGATGAAATAATTCCTGCACATGGGAGTTAATTCATCCCAGCATCCAAAGCATGCCAAGAATATTAAGCTGCTCAGCCATGCCTACTACTATTTCTAAAAGGCAGAAGATGAGCTTTTATTGCAAAAGGAACAGTCACTCCTGCAATAAGTCCACCTTAGCAGCATTATATATATATATATATATATATATATATATATATATCTATAAGGGTACTGTAATTTAGGTGTTGTACTGCAGCAAAATGTGGTAATGGTGCAAACAGATTACAGTGATGCCTCTTTACACTACTGATCTATTGTAGTGCTTTGATGAAAAGGACCTGGCTGGTAAATTTTCCTGACCTGTTGTGGTGATTTTCTTAATGCATATTACAAGAGTGCTGAATTTTGTTTTTGTACAATGTAACAGAGTGCACTGCAATGCAATGCATGTCAACACTGAAAACCAATGCATCTCAATACACGTGCAGAGTTTCGGTCAGATTGAAGCTTTTCACAAACAAACTAAAAAAATCCCAGCACCAATCAAAGAAAGTATACAATTATGTAGCTGTGCACCAGTGAAAACCACCAATAATAAATAACACAAAAAACAGCGCAAAAATTAAATAAATAAAAATAATCACAAATAAATAAATGTCCGTGCAAAAATATATATGTAATATTTCAAACATAAGTCCTTATTTTCCCAAAAGGATTTTCAAAACCATATTCCAAAATGTGCTTCCACCTAATCACCACGTGAAAAAATAATATTGAGCGCACTCACCAGATGGAGGTGAGTAATAAGCCTCATAGGATATAAGGGATCCTATAGCCCCTCAGGAGGAACTCAAATCGCCTTCACCCTGCTTAGATACAGCAATCGACTCCACCTACTTCTCCATGGAATCCTCAATAGTGTGCAAGGAAAGAAAGGCTACATAGTGTAATACTGAATCCATATAAATCAATAGAATAAGGACACTCACATGTTTCAATAAAATAAAGGCCTTGTTTAATAGCCTCAAAGGCTTCAAAGGAAAGTTTCCAAATTGTAAATATAGGGATCTCACGCTTTAAGGATCACCGTAGAGGATGACCAGCTTTCCACCTCAAAAATGGCTGCTTTAACCGCAAAAGTCGGCGTGCGTTCCAAATACCGGAAGTGACGTAGGCCAAGAAGACGGCAGACCAGAAGTGCATTGCATTTCGCCCCACCCACAGGGCGTTTGACCAAAAAACGCCCTGTGGGTGGGGCGAAATGCATTGATACACTTCTGGTCTGCCGTCTTCTTGGCCTACGTCACTTCCGGTATTTGGAACGCACGCCGACTTTTGCGGTTAAAGCAGCCATTTTTGAGGTGGAAAGCTGGTCATCCTCTACGGTGATCCTTAAAGCGTGAGATCCCTATATTTACAATTTGGAAACTTGTTCCTTTGAAGCCTTTGAGGCTATTAAACAAGGCCTGTTATTTTATTGAAACATGTGAGTGTCCTTATTCTATTGATTTATATGGTATTGAGTGGTAGTATTACACTATGTAGCCTTTCTTTCCTTGCACACTATTGAGGATTCCATGGAGACGTAGAGTGGAGTCGATTGCTGTATATAAGCAGGGTGAAGGCGATTTGAGTTCCTCCTGAGGGGCTATAGGATCCCTTATATCCTATGAGGCTTATTACTCGCCTCCATCTGGTGAGTGCGGTCAATATTATTTTTCACGTGGTGATTAGGTGGAAGCACATTTTGGAATATTGTTTTGAAAATCCTTTTGGGAAAATAAGAACTTATGTTTGAAATATTATATATATATATATATATATATATATATATATATATATATTTTTATTTTTTTTGCACGGACATTTATTTATTTGTGATTATTTTTATTTATTTAATTTTTGCGCTGTTTTTTGTGTTGTTTAGATTGAAGCTTTTGGCAAGAGACTTTCCATAAACACCAAAATACATATCTGCTGCTATGTATATGAAGCACAGCCAGGAATTTATAATTTATGACACATTTAGAAGCCACATCAGAAACCGTGCAGATAAGCAATGGGAAAACTCAATGTTTAAGTTAAAACTTTTATCTAGTTTCTCAGTCAAGCATTTTTCTTTTCCCCACCTAGTCCTGCATCGAGGCGCATGAGAAAGACATGGAGCTATCATTTGCCATTCAGCGCAGTAAGGACATTGTGTGTGTGGCATCTGCATGGAGGTGGTATATGAAAAAACAAACCTCAGCGAGAGGCGTTTTGGCATACTGTCCAACTGTAACCACTCCTACTGTCTAAAGTGTATACGAAGGTGGAGGAGCGCTAAACAGTTTGAGAGCAAGATCATCAAGTGAGTATTCTGATCATGTATGTGTATATCCAGCTAGCACATATGTTAGAACAACACAACCTGAAACACCCCAGACTGAATAAAAACATGTTTTGTTTGTATCACTATACATAACTTATGTTTACTTTGCATAATTATTATTGCATATTATCAGACCTACTAAATATGAACCTAGAATATTTATACCCACCCCAGATATTCTATAAATATATACAGTGTCTTGAAAAGGTATTCATACCCCTTGAAATTGTTTTCATATTACAACAAAAAACGTAAATGTATTTTATTGGGATTTTATGTGCTAGACCAACACAAAATGGCACATCATTGTTAAGTGGAAGGAAAATGATAAATAGATTTAAAAATGTTTTTACAAATATCTGAAAAGTGTGATGGCATTTGCATTCAGCCCCCCTGAGTCTATAGTTTGGAGAACCAGCTTTTGCTGCAATTACAGCTGCAAGTCTCCTTGGGGATGTCTCTACCAGCTTTGCACATCCAGAGAGTGACATTTTGCCCATTCTTCTTTGCAAAATAGCTCAAGCTCTGTCAGATTGGATGGAGAGTGTCTGTGAACAGCAATTTTAAAATCTTACTATATATGTTTGTGTGTATGTATGTAAATAATAAACATGCAAATAGATGAGTAGTTTAAACAGTGTTATAATAAAATTACCCTAAAACATTAGGATCATATGTATACAGATATCACATGGAGAATGGAAAGGAAAGTAAGACTTCCACCAAAGTGTACAAATGTCGTCAAAGTTCAGTTCACTTCATCGATGTAATATTCCTTTAAGACAGTCCAATACACCATCATTGTGATCCTGCAGTGATTAACACCCCATCAGATTGAGGGTGTGGCTCAGAGGAACTCGGAATGACGAAACTCGTTGGCACTTGATGTCAGCTTGCACAGCGGGACCACGTGGTGTGATCACGTGACCACTACTGTGGGAGTCCGTACCAGGAAGTGTGTGGTGAGACTATCACGCTGCTGAAGAGGCTGTTATATTCATACACTGCTTTTTTTTTACTTTAAGTGCTATTTTAAGGGGGGTTTTGTTCAATAAATGTGTTAAACGGAATTACACTATGTGGTTGTTCTTTACTTTGCCCACATATTGAATTGGAGTATTATGATTAAGTCTTGATGGTGAGGAGGTCGGAAGGAGAGTGATCAATATTTATATCTGATGGACGGTGATCTTGGTCTGTGATACTGAGGATGAATATTTCACTGTCGGTCCTTTTTAATAATCATTCCACACCAGGGAGGTTTATTTTCCACTACTGTTTACTCACCAGCATCTGGTGAGTGTTCAGATTGATGGGGTGTTCATCACTGCAGTATCATAATGGTGGTGTGTTGGACTGTCTTAAAGGAATATTACATCAATGAAGTGAACTGAACTTTATTCACATTTGTACATGTTGGTGGAAGTCTTACTTTCCTTTCCATCCTCCCATGTGATATCTGTGTATATATGATCCTAATGTTTTAGGGCAGGGCTTGAAAAAGCCGCTCGCCCACTGGCCAAATGCGAGGAGAAATTCCTCTGTGGAGAGCGGCGAGCACAGATGAAGCATGGAGCGACTACACCTGCGCTCCAAGCCTCATTGTGAAGCCGAGTTTCGGTTTACAACTTCCGGTTTCTGCCACTCTTCCATAAAGGCCAGATTTGTGGAGTACATGGCTAATAGTTGTCCTGTGGACAGATTCTCCCACCTGAGCTGTGGATCTCTGCAGCTCCTCCAGAGTTACCATGGGCCTCTTGTTTGTTTCTTTGATTAATGCCCTCCTTGCCCCGCCTTCAGTTTGGACGGCCATGTCGTGGTAGATTTGCAGCTGGTTCCACTAGATTTTAGTTGAGGGTATCAGTGTAAAGAGGGCTGATACAAATGCATGCCACACTTTTCAGCTATTTATTTGTAAAAAAAATTTGAAAACCATTTTTTATCATTTTCTTTCCACTTCACAATTATGTGCCACTTTGTGTTGGTCTATCACATAAAATCCCAATAAAATACATTTACGTTTTTGGTTGTAACATGACAAGATGTGGAAAATTTCAAGGGATAGGAATACTTGTTTAAGGCACTGTAGCAATCTGAGATCGCAAATATTTTTCATATGTAAGAAGTCAGCTAGAGTGGGAGGGGTTTACACACTGCTGGCTGCTTAATCTGACTAGCTGTACAGCCACCCAATTGCTTCCATAGACCACCAGTAGTGAGGCATGATCTGCGCTCTTCCACCTTCAGTGGAAGGCAGTTCCAATAGAATTTCAGTGACTGAAATGGGTGGGCAAGGGTCAGTCAGGCTAGAGAGGAAAGAATCTTGACTTCGCTGGATGTCCCCCATCCTAGAAATGAGGCAGGCTCTGTCAGATTTGTTGCAGCTTCTCCTGCACACTGAGAAAAGTTTAACGTGCTGTGAAATCGGAGTAAGCAAAATCCGTACAAGAGCCTATATTACTGTCTGGTACTGAAGGAAAGGCCGAAGTTCAGCTTTGAAAGTTAGTCAGTGGTGGGTGTGTGTTTTTTGTGTTTTTTTTTTTTTTTTTTAGTTTTTTTTCTAGATCGTACCAATGCATGTTGTTCATTTTTCAAAATTTTGCTGCGGGTGCCATGCTAGTCCCTGAAAATCTCTACAGTGTGTTGCTTTATTATGTAATCCAAATTAAAATAGTTTGGCGTGTGGCTTGTTGCTTTTGGAACACTTTTTATAGTTCATTTTTGTTATGCAGGTCATGTCCAGAATGCCGAATCACATCAAACTTTGTCATTCCAAGCGAATACTGGGTGGAGGAAAAAGAGGAGAAACAGAAGCTAATCCAGAAATACAAGGAGGCTATGAGGTAAATCAGGGGTCTCCAAACTTTCTAAACATAGGGCCAATTTGCTGTCCATAAGACTTTCGGGGGGCCGGACTAGGGTCATTGGGAGTAGAAATTATCCCGACATCAGTGGGAGTAAACAATGCATCTTTGGTATTATGGGGAGGAATAGCGCCCCTTCATTGGTGTCAGTGGGAGGAATAGTGTCCAATTGTTGGTGTCAGCTGAAAGAATAGTGCCCAGTTGTGTCAGTGGGGGGAATAGTGCCCCATCATTGGCGTCAGTTTGAGGAATAGTGTCCTATTGTTGGTGTCATTGGGGGGGGAAATGGTGCCCCATCATTGGTATCAGTGGGAGGAATACTGTCCTATTGTTGGTGTCATTGGGGGAAATAGTGCCCCATCGTTGGTGTCAGTGGCAGGAATAGTGCCCCATCAATGGTGTCAGTGGGAGGAATAGTGTCCTATTGGTGTCAGTGGGAGGGAAAATGGTGCCCCATCAATGGTGTCAGTGGGGGAAATGGTGCCCCATCAATGGTGTCAGTGGGGGAAATGGTGCCCCATCATTGGCGTCAGTGGGTGGGGAAATGGTGCCCCATCAGTGGCGTCAGTGGGAGGAATGGTGCCCCATCAGTGGCGTCAGTGGGAGGAATGGTGCCCCATCAGTGGCATCAGTGGGAGGAATGGTGCCCCATCAATGGCGTCAGTGGGAGGAATAGTGTCCTATTGGTGTCAGTGGGAGGGAAATCGTGCCCCATCAGTGGCGTCAGTGGGAGGAATGGTGCCCCATCAGTGGGGTCAGTGGGAGGAATGGTGCCCCATCAGTGGGGTCAGTGGGAGGAATGGTGCCCCATCAGTGGGGTCAGTGGGAGGAATGGTGCCCCATCAGTGGGGAGGAATGGTGCCCCATCAGTGGGGAGGAATGGTGCCCCATCAGTGGGGAGGAATGGTGCCCCATCAGTGGGGAGGAATGGTGCCCCATCAGTGGTGAGGAATGGTGCCCCCTCAGTGGGGAGGAGGAATGGTGCCCATCAGTGGTGTCAGTGGGGGTAAATAGTGCCCCACCAGTGGTGTCAGTGGTAGGAATAGTCTCCTATTGGTGGGAGGAAAGGAATAGTGTCTTGTATTAGTGGGGGATAAAAGTGCCCCGAGGGCCAGATAAAGTCAAGCAAAGGGCCACATCGGCCCCCGGGCCGCAGTTTGGAGGCCACTGAGATAAATGTTCTTCCACTTTCTGCATCCTTTGATAGTCACTTACGAAGAGATTTGGAAGGTCTGACCTGAATGCACTCAATGTTTCTTTGATTGTCCATATTTTTAGGTCAGAGCTGGATGAGTCCCAGTATTTGGGGAGCTTTTAAGGGGGCTTCCTGTATTATAATGGGGATTATAAAAATGCGTTAAACTAATCAGTATAGCTTCAAATTAAGACTCCTGTTTGGGCCAGTGACAATGGGCTTTTGTTTGCTTCAGAAAGGTTTTGTATTCTCATAAAGTTTATGGGATTGCAAAACCTGCTGGAAGGAGATCAACTGCAGGTTAAATACACCTAAATGAATTCTGATTAATCTAAAATTGAGGCCATCGGCCCTTATAGTACTAGTGAATAATGTACTCACTTGTGTCTATGTATGCCTGGGCATACAAAAAAAAAAAAAAAGTAGATCTCTGCATTATATGTACCATGTTTTTTCTTTTTAAAATAAAATCGTAGGGAAAAAAAATATATAATTCTGCCAGTATACCAGTGTGCTTCTAACTTCCAGTGTGCTGCTGTCACCAGCCCTGCACAGTTTTCTTCTGCTGAACTCTTCTCTCACACTCATCAATTCCATTACATGATTGGGTGTTTTGTAACTCAGCAAGGGAGAATTAGTCCTCCCCTCCCATTGCCTAGAAAATGAATGAACATATTAATGTGTCCAAGGAGTGAGAAAGAATGCATGCAATGTACAGGGGTTGGTAAAAAAAACAAAATGGAAACTCTACATGATTTGCAGGTATGAAAGTGAAGACCTGTTTCGTGTTGAAAGCAGAAGTGATGTAACACTCTTTTGCTTCCCCTGTGTGATGAGACGCCTAGTTAACAGGTGGGAAGCCTCACTTTGTCATTTACTACATGCATTGCTAGTAATAAGGAGTCATATCACAACTTATTGAGCTTCAAAGAGGGCAAATTGTTGGTGCCCACTTAGCTGTTGCCTCTGTGACTGAAGTTGCCATTTTATTGGCCGCGTTGTGAGGTACAGTATTCAAGGTTATGACGGCATAAACCGCTTCCTGGAAAATGTCATCTGATGAGCATAAGTGCGGTCTTCATGGTCCACTGACCGAAAGAGACAAAAGGATTGTGACCCATTATAAGAAAACTGCTGCAAAGTGACTGCAGAGATCAATCTCTGTCCCGTGAACACTGAGATTGAGCTATGCAGTCACTTTTGCAGCAGTTTTCTTATTCCGGGTAACGATCCTGCATAATGTCCTTTTTTTTTTTTTTTTTTTTTTTTTTTTTTGTCTTTCGGTCAGTTGACCATGTCGACCGCGCTTATGTTTACGAGAGGGCGTTTTCCCAGAAACCGTATATGCCATCATAACCTTTGATACTAAACTTCACGACACGGCAAATTGGCAACTTCGCTCAAAGAGTCACCAGCTAAGCGGGCACCAACAATTTGCCCTCTTTTGAAGCTCAGTAAGCCCTGACATGACTGTATTACTAGCACCGCACACACTGAAATGGCAAGTGAGGCTTCCCATCTGTTAGCTAGGTGTCTCATCACACAGTGGAAGCAAGAGTGTTCTATCACTTCCGCTTTCAACGCAAAACATGTCTTCACTTTCACACCTGCAATTCATGTAGTGTTTCCATTTTTTTTGTCCAACCCCTGTATTTGTAGTTTTACTGGATTCTGTAGGTTATTATTGTTGAAACACACGGAGAGGACTGTGATACACAGTACTCCTTTTCTGGTTATCCTTTTATGTGGTAAAAAAATGCTGTCCCAGTTTAGAAGCTAAGAGAGGCTTGCTTATTTCCAGCAACAAATCTTGCCGGTATTTTGATGAAGGCCGCGGCACCTGTCCATTTGGAGGCAACTGTTTTTACAAACATGCATACCCTGATGGTCGTATAGAAGAGCCACAGCCACGACAAAAAGGGGGTATGTCCAGCAGGTATCGGGTAAGTTTCCCATACTTTATTACGTTCTGCTATTCTTGTCACATTCTATTCTACTGGATGGACCACTAAAACTTCTTCTGTTTTGTTTGGTTTTTAATTGTTTACTTTTCAACAGATGCTCATGTAACCAAATAGAACTGTGACCAGCTTATAAACGTTCAAATATTCACATGATCTTAACCACCATTAAAGTGAAATGTCCTGCACAACCAACTATGAATGGCCACCAGTCTTGGAAATGCCTCCTAACCCCTTCTGCTACTTATGCTTTCTGCCCTGTGTAACACAGATCTGTATTTTTTGCCTCCCTTTTTTTTTTTTTTGTCCAGTCGCGTGATCCCTCAGCTCTGGCTTCCGTGTCAGTGAATGGCTGGCTACTGGGGAGAGGAGGGAATGCTGACAGCAGCTGGGCTGTGGGAGCTGTCACCAGTCCTATCTGTTTTGGAAGCTCCCTTAAACGGGGCCGGAGCTGCAGGATCACATGAGTTGGGTGAAATGAGGTAAGTATATAGATCTTTTTTACATAGGGAAGGTAGCAGAAAGCAAAAGGTTACATTTTTAAGAATCGTTATGGTTAGGCAGGAATTCCACTTTTAAGCTTTAAAACAAGCCCCTCCCTGACCCTCCTGTAGTTGCAGGTACTATGGAGCAATACATACCCAAAGCTTACAGTAGAAACTTTGAAGTCATTCAAGTCAGGTCTAAGCTGTTAGAGGGCCAACTCTATGCTGGGAAGGGGAGCCTAGTTACAGACAGAAACTGAAAGTAAAACTGAGAAGCCTGGGCTGCAAAGTTTGCAGGCTAAATCACTATACAATAGCTGCAGCTACAGAGGTTAGCAAGGGTTTATTTATGTATATTATGTTTTTAGAATGTCCATAGCCTGGCCACAGTCCTACTTTAGAGCAGACCTTTCAAGTGTTCACTTCCCTGCCTGCTGCCCAAACTAAAGTGGCAGTTAAGAAAAAAAAATATTCTTAGCATGAATATGCACAACATAGGTGTGTGTCAGTGTCAGCAATGATATTGTTACTTATGCCTGTGACGAACGTGTTGCTTCTCACCAACTCCTGGCAAAGGACCAGCCAATCTCACACTGTGCTGTCACTTGCGTAACACAGCCACTCTCAGCTGCACCCTGCACAAAGATTTTCCAGCTCGCAGGACCACACTCTAGGTGCCAGCAGCCTGAGAACGATTGTCACTAGGTTAGGTTAATTACCCAATTAACCCTTCAAACTGCCACCAGATAGCTTTGGGACAATCAACACTTCACAATGTTAGCAAGAACAAATGTGAACCATAAACATCTGTAACACACACTGTCACCACAGACAAGTATATTCAGAGGATTATTACGTACAGTAGCACTCTTCAAGAGACAGGGATTCTTCACTTTGCATTAAAAGCCTTAAAGATAATTTTTAACACTTTTCAAAATGGGGTTTATTAATGAAAAGGTAAAATGGTGCAATTAAAATATTTACAGAAAGGGATGTTACAAAGATATAAAGTGACAGAGAAATAAAAAAAGGAGTTAAGAAGGCAGAATACTTGCAAAGTCCTTGGTTTTAGCAGAGTCCAATTGTCCGAGCAAAGATGTTGCTGTGGCTCTCAAGTCCGTTAAGATGTTCCTTGGTTGATGTTAAACGAGAGCTCAATCTTAACAAGTCCTGTCATCCTTTTTTCTGTGATATCAAAGGGGTGTGGACCGAGAACAACTGACCAATCATCCGGTTTAGGGGATGGGTGCTAGGAGGTCACCAAATTCAGTCCCAACTACAGTTTCATATTACTATTCATAACTTCCAGTATGTGCAGGTGATATTCTAGCAACTGGCAGATTAATATTCAGATGCATATTTCGAACCCAGGGATACCAAACACTGTGTACCTTGTCGTCCAGGAGGCAGAAAACTGCTTTCTCCCCTTTCCTGTATGCTAACATAGTCATGTATAACCTTGATTTGTTCGGCGAGATATTCCTTATTCAGATATATATCTAATATTAATGTGCCCTGTTCCTGTTGAATTCTATGAATTGTATGTGGAATTGTTACATTGTGGAGTAGATGTTTTATGGCACGATCTGCATTCCTAGAGCTTTAATGGCCTTGCGGGTCATGTGTGAAGGCTTGACCGAGTTATTGTCTTGCGATAGGGAAGAGGAAAGTGTTTTTCATGGCTCCTGGAAACTGACATCTTGCCAAGACTAATTAGCTGTTTACAGCTTTGGACACTGAGTCTATTTGTATTTTTAATTAAGAGGTTCTTTTGAAGTTTGATAAAGGTTACAGCTACAAATTCCATAGTTTGCAAAAAAAGGGGGGGAGTAGGAACAATGCACATGAGACCTTCACAAGATGGCTGTCGCATACAGCTTCCATGTCTGTATTGCGCACAATCTTCACATTTCCCATTTCCGTACTAGTAGAAAATGCTTTGGATATTTAACAAAAAATTAGCAAATGTAAATACTCACCACAGGCACCGGTGGTATCACTGTGCCTTACAGCTGCCCCCTTGCATAGCTTGGCACTCAAAATCCCAGCGAGTGCAGGACTGTGTTCCTATGGGATTTCAAATGGTCAGGAGGAGCAGTGAGGAGTGGTAACATCACTTAGGTGAGTAGTTTTTCTGGTCAAATATTTACTGTAAATTTTTATTTACAGCTTATTTGTTTTAGTGGTGGGGGACTAGCGAGGAAGTGGTCCTTCCATTTGCATGTAAATATCGTTGCAATAAATTGCCTGTCCAAAGCATGGTAATGTTTAAATCTTCTTCTGAAGTCTTTGTGGTTGCACTGGGCATTACTGTAGAGGATAATGGAAGTCTCCATCCTAAATTGCACATGCAGTATTTCAGAGTATTGTGGAAAACCATAGGGTGTACTACAGGATGTAAATGTTTCCCAAAATGGTTAAAAGGCAAGGCATTCTGTCAAGGATAAACCATATATTCCCAGCGCTTAGATACAACCCCCAAATGTCCCACGCAATCAATGACCTGTACTAAATATTACATGTGCATGCATATATAAAAAAAAGAAAAATATCCAATATACCCCCTCTGTGCAGTGTTCAGAAAAAATCAAATGCTCACCAGATGATTAGAACCTTCATAGATAAATGGGACAAATCAGGCTCGTGAAAATATATCAACCATGAGGTGTCGCCTTTCCTCCTCTCCTCATGCACTGTACATCTAGTGTCCTTTTTATTTCTTGTTTCCTCTCAAGTGTATGTTAGCTGGAGTTGAATTAAATTTGTTAGCGTTTCCATTGCTTTTCCATCCAGAGTGGAGACACCCCAAGACAGGAAGTGTGTTACTGGCTATATCAACAGATAAGAAAAAAAAAAAAGAGGGGGGGGGGGGAGCAAAAAAAAATGAATGCACCCACCACATTAAGGATTGGGAAGCTGCATTATATATATTTTTCGGGTTTAAAGGATAAGTTTGCCTTTTCGGGCAGAATTTCACTTTTTGTAAAAATAGAAGCATTTTCCAATGCCATTTCTGGCCCAGCCATCCCAATGTGCTTTTCTCTCACTTGCCTCATCCACAGGATGATTAAAATCTCACATAAACTGACAAAAATGTAAACTGATTTTCTGATGGCTTAATTTCTTGTAGATGGTCTCTCAGCATTCACTTCCTGTAGGCCACTCCCAGAAGCCTTATCCTCTTTGTTGCATCACAGAAGAGGGTGTGATGGGGTGTGTTCACCACTCTGGACCACACCTCCGTCATTACAATACTACCTTTCTCCCATTAGGGGTTGGGCTTGGCCCCTTAGTTCCAGTGAAGGGAACTTTTAATGCATCAGCATACCAAGGACATTTTGGACAATTTCATGCTCCCAACTTTGTGGGAACAGTTTGGGGATGGCTCCTTCCTGTTCCAATATGACTGCGCACCAGTACACAAAGCAAGGTCCATAAAGACATGGATGAGCGAGTTTGGGATGGAGGAACTTAATTGGCCTGACCTGAACATGATAGAAAACCTTTGGAATGAATTAGAGACTAACAGGCTTATTCTTTGTTATTTTGAGAAGCCTTGAGGAATCCATTAGGGCAGGGGTGGGCAACTGTGGCCCTCCAGCTGTTGTAGAACTAAAAGTCCCATGAGGCATTGCAAAACTGACAGTTACAAGCATGACTCCCAAAGGCAGAGGAATAATGGGACTTGTAGTTCACCAACAGCTGGAGGGCCACAGTTGCCAACCCCTGCATTTAGGGTAAGGCTTTTATTTTCTGCTTAATTTGTGGTGGTGGTGGCGGCTTTAATCACCCGATCTCCAGTTCCCAGCTGCTGCTTTTTCCAGGTTGAATAACTTTCAGCATTCATCCTCCCACTTCTGTGAGCCCAGGATATCATGACCCCGCCCAGGGTATCATGGCCCCACCCACTGCCCTGGACTCACAGAAGTATGCTGCAGAGAGCATTGTGTTTATGTGGCAGTTCTCCCTGCAGCATTTGGGAGCTGCTGATCATTGTGGTGGACCTGTGATATTGAACCCAGCCAGAAACATAAGTTTTCAGGGATGCTTCATGGGTGGTAATGGGGGTTGCAAATGGGGGAATGGATGACTTGATCCCAGAGTTAGGGTTTGGCTATTGTAAATTTATGTACTTATTTATTTACTTAATTAACCAGTTTGTCACATTAACTAATGCATAATGTTGATGTTTTATTTGGTCTGAACTTCAATGCCCTCCTGACACAGAGGTTAGAGACCCTTTTCCTGACTTCCTCACTTTGATCCTTTCTAGGCCCAACGTAGGAACCGGTTTTTTGGGAATTTGAGGAGCGTGAAAGTGGGGATCCTTTTGACAACGACGACGATGATGACATGGTCACCTTTGAACTGGGTGAAATGCTTCTTCTTATGTTGTTGGCAGCAGGTGCTGACGAAGACCTAACAGACTCAGAGGATGAGTGGGACTTGTTCCATGAAGAGCTGGACACTTTTTATGACCTGGACCTATAGCGCTAGTCAGAGGAGTTTGGACTGTCTGGGCCGTGTCAGACAGTAGCTATTTCCTGTGGTGTTGTGGCAGTGCCTGTGTTTCTCCTAGGCAGGCCTAAAATTCCAGGTGCTGTTGTAATAATTTTTATCCTGATGTCTGTCTTTTTCCCCCTTCCCCAGAGTGTTTGTTTCTCTGTTTCAAAATAATAAAAAAAAAAATATGGAAAAAAAAAAAAAACAAAACACACATGTACAAAATGAAATCAAATGCAAAACGTGTGGATTTGTCATAGGCATTAATCTTATTTTTCATATAACAGTCTTTGCTGCCTGTACTGTCCCTATTATACATAACCTAGGGACAGATTGGGAGGAAGCCAGTCAACATTAATCTTATGGTTTTCATTGTGGGAAAAATCAGACAAATGCAGGAAAACCCATACAAATGCCATGCAGCTTGGGTCCCTGGTGGGAATTGAACACAGTATCCAGTGCTATATTACACAAATTGCTATAGCTTACCCCTATAGATGTCCTTTCTTTTTATCCATCGAAGCACAAAGTATTTTGCCTGCAGGAGGATTGAACACTGGCAAACAAAAAAAATAAAATAAAATGCATATGCCAATGCCTGGTTACTGCTCCCACTACCAACATATGCCCTTTTTGCTAGTATGCTGGGAAGATGGATGTCTTTTTTTCTTTAGCTATGCTGTGTAAAATCCAAGCCTGTTTTTGCTAGCAACTTGTATTTTTTTTTTTTTTTTTATTTCCCCCTCCCTACAGTTTTCTTACACTTCTGCTAGATTTGGTCTCTGGTTTCTGGTATATGGCGCTGCAGTCATTGGCCTTGAAATGTTGGAAGCACTGTTGCTCCTACTTTGCAAAAGCCATTTGGAATTTTGATCTGTTCTGCCTGTTTGCAGTGGTTTTCGGCAGCTCTGACCATCTGATCCTCACCTGCTACTAGCTGTATGATGAGTAGCTGTGGCCTTGCCGCAATGCAGTTGCACCATATCTAATTCTAGCCACGGGGAGATAGTCCTGCTGTGCCAAGTGTCCCCAACTCACAACCTACTAATGTCTCTGAGGCTGCTTACGGCCTATGGATGCAGCCAATATCTGCAGCCTGTAATCTATAGTCCTCCTGCTCGTAGACTCTATTCTCTTTGGAGTCTTCCTTGGATCTGGCGGGTATGGCTGGTTCCTCTGTCCTCTTGGCTGGGGCTTTTATGACAGTTATGCTAGACTTTATGGTTTTCACTCAGTTATTTGCTGACCAGAGGCCACAAGTGCCCACCCCCCTCTTTCTGCCACAGATTCTGTATCTGATCTACCCTTAAAACTGTATAGATTAGTAGATCTCCATCAAGCTCTTCTCCATCATGGTCCCTTTTGGACCATTGCAATTTTGTCCATATCATTGTGGCAGAACAGTTTCAGAGGTTTTGCGCCAATCTATTTCCAAAACCAAATGGGGGCATCAGCCCCATCTTGGATCTAAAATCACTGAAATGTCATTCAAGCTCAGAAATTCTGTATGGAATACACCATGGGGGAGATTTACTAAAACTGGCGCACACAGAATCTGTCAAAGCTGTGCATAGTAACTAATCAGCTTCTAGGTTTTATTGTCAAAACCTAATTAAGCTGAAGTTAGAAGCAGACTGGTTACTATGTACAGCTGCACCAGATTCTGTGTGCACCAGTGTTTGTAAATCTCCCTCACATCTGTCATTGTCCTCCCACCTGGGAAACGTTTTTTTGATGAACATTAAGGATGTGTGCCAACCTGTCCCATCTTTCTAGAGCCTTGGCGTTTCCTATGTTTTGCTGTGGGGACCCTATCAGTTTGTGGCCATGGTCACCAAGGTGTGGCCCTCAGTACTAGCCCTGTTGTGCTCTTGTGGCATCCCTATTGTGGGATATGTAGATGACCTCCTGTTGAGGGAACCTTTGCAGCAGGCTGTGATGTACAACACGGTTTTGACTGTTATAACATTACTGTGGTATAGATGAATCCTAAACCTTCAGAAATTTCCTCTGGCACGGACTTATTTTGAGTAGCAGGCTCTAGTCCTGGACTCTGCTCAGCCCTGCTCAGAATGTTTTTTCAACAGGAGAAACTTCAGACTCTCCCATCTCCAATTGAGCCTCTATGGCCCAGAAGTTTTCTGACTTTCTTCTTTTGCATGATTGATGGTAGCCTCCTTTTTTGAGTAAGTCCTGTTTGCTCAGTTTCACTCTAGACCTCTTGTTGCAGTACTCAGGATCCCTTCATTGACTTCTAGCATACCTTGGACATTTTTCACTGAAACAATGCAGGGCATGTCCTCTGACCAGGTAGGTATTAAGAGTATTTTAGCACCAGCCTTTGAAGTTGCAGATGCTGTCTGATCACCAGCTACCCCAGAGCTAAAGCATTAAAATACCTGTCTATTAGTTGCTGACCCAGTTTGACTACTCTTGTTTGCTGCCTACCTTGACCCATTCCTGGGCATGATTACTCTCACCTGCTATTACCCCTTCCTGGACTTCAGCCTTACCTGGCCACTCTTGTTTGAAGTCTAGTGATTAGTCTGTCCACTGTAGCCTTTTCTTTCCAGCCATACCTTTTTTGGAGCACTCTTGAGGGATGCGCTTTAGGCTATGACTAAAGCTATTTGCTGAAAAGCTGTTTGTCACTATGCTGAAGGAATAAAGACTTTGACATGGATGTATGAGTTATCCACTCCTTTCACCTATTTGCAAGCTACACAATTTGCACCACCAGGAGCCCTAGTGCCAAATAACTGCCAATTCCTAACCTCCCTCACCACATCACCTGCCAGGGGGCACCATAAAATATCTACAGTGCAATATTCTGTTGTTGTGGGTCAAGTTTTTCTAGTTTGGCACAAAGAGCCACCAGGTTATTACTGGCTTGGTAGCTCAGGAATCCAATGCTGGATTCGGGGAAGCCCTTCCTTCCATACTTTGGATGATCCTCATGACTGATGCCAGCCTGTTGGGCTAGGGAGGAATCATTGGCATCTTGTCAGTGCTCCCGATCAACATCCTGGAGCATTAGGTGATTTGGTTGGCTGCAGTGTTACCATCCTTATGGAGGGTCATCTGATTCAGATGGACAATGCCACAGCTATAGCATACTTCATCCATCAATGAGGAACCATTGCTGATTTTAAAATCAATACCATTGAAGCTCAGGTTCTGAGAGACACGGGCATTTCTGAATTGGTGATTTCTATGTTAAAAGCTTGGAAGTCTACCTCTTGCAAGGTCTATCATCATTCATGTAGGGAATACTTCACTTGGTGTGAGTCTCTGGCTTCCACCCTATGTGTTTCTCTGTGTGATGAAAGCCTCTCCTTCTAACAGCTGGGTCTAGACCAGTGTTTAGTTTTCAGTACTATCAAAGGTCAGGTTTTTCACCCTATCTACCTAGTTTCAGAGCCCATTGACTTCAAACTCCTTGGTTATTACCTTTTGTACAATGAGTTTCCCATGCAGACTCACCCGTTTGGACTGATCAATTAGACTGGCTGCTGCTAGCAAAATCACAAATGTGTGAGTGCAAGCATAAAAATTGCTGCGCTGCCTCTCCCAAAAACGAATTTAAATAATGAATGAATGAACTCCATACTACACAAAGGGTCCCCATAAATGTGCATGTGCTATAATGCCCCGTGGGCTGGCAATTATATCCCTCCTCCCCAGTGACTAAATCACAAATAAACCAAGAAGTAAATACAAGGTGCTTAAAGGACAATAGTGCTAAAAGTAGCACATATACAATGCCATGAAACTATACAGTGAAATTGTATAAAGCTATATATAAAGTCCCAATAATTGTGCAAACATATAACAGTTAAAAAGAAAAATTGAACGTTCCAAAGAAACCCCCATCTGCATCTGGTGTGAATATTAAGTGATACAGTAGTAAATCTTCTTATCCATAGCAATTCTCTGTGTGTAGTGCTCCAATTAAGCAGGCCATAGACGGGTCGAACATCAACCAATTTTAAAAAAAAAAAAGCGAAAAAATCGGTTGTTCGATTGGCCGTTACCACCAACATTAAAACAATTGGCTGATTTTTGTCCTGCCTACGGCTGGCATTAACCCCATAACTTCTGTCCCTTGCAGAGACGGGAGCACACCATACAATGTGACAGCCATACATAAGAAGAATTCCAGTCTGCTATTATATTTTATATGAAAAAGTCTTGCGGTTGCAACAAATGTATCCATTTGTAACCAAATAAATACATCTGTATCCAAATAAAAAACATTGTAATACATTATTTGTATTACAATGTTTTTATTTGGATACAGATGTTTTTATTTGGCTACAAATGGATACATTTGTTGCAACCACAAGACTTTTTCATATAAAATATAATAGCAGACTGGAATTCTTATTCTTTTCTTCTTCTTGCAGGTCATAGCTCATGCGCAGATTTTTTTATCGGTAAAACGATCGGCTGATTTGCCCATCATTGCCGGGAAAATCGGGCGATCGTCAAAATCGAATGCAAATAGAAAAAACACAGTGCCCAGGACCAACTCACTAACACCCTCTTTAAGTGAAATGCCGCTGTGCACAGGTATAAGAACCAAAATTAAAATTTTTTCAATATAAACCAGCGCAAAACACAAACTACCTCACAACAAGTGAGCAATAATGAATAATAACCATTATATTTTGGTATAAGTGTCACACAAAAAATTAATTATTAAAATAAATTTAAAGTCCAGTGATACATAAAATATTAAAAAATCAAGTGACCCATACGAAAAGAAAAAAAATCCGTGACACATAAAAAAGAAAAGTCCAGTGCCCCAAAGAAACTTTTGATTGAGAATCTTCAATGCTTATAGTGATCCTTCCACCATCCACCAGTGCAAAAACCAACATGAACTGCACTCACCAGATAATAGTGAGTATAACGCCTTTCAGGATTATTTAGGGCTCCTGAACCCCCTTTAGGACCTCCACTATTTTCCACCTCAAAGATATGGA